CTTCTGGCGGTTGGTGCTGGCCTCATGGCGTCTCTGATTCTTCTGTTTATCCACACCGAATCCTCTTGTCCTTGCCTGGGAAATGGGGGTGATGCCTGTGCCCACAGGGCTGTGAGGAGGAGGAGGATGTGGGAAGAGTTGTGATGGGAAAGCGCTTCATAAAGCAGGAAGCCTTTGACGATGCTTGGTGGTGGTGTGTGTATGTTTGCAGCCCCCCCAGGACTGGAAGCAAGGGCAGCTGCAAGCAAGGGGAGTATGCTGTGTCCCCCTTTGCTGCCTCTGCTTGGATCCTGATTCTGGAAGTAGAAGGAGGTAGAGTTTTTCCTGTGGCTCTGGCAGTTGGCTGATTAGTTCTCTCCTCTCTTCCTCCCTCCTTCCCTTTGTATTTAAATAAACATTACGCAGCACATGTGTTATTCTTTCTGGCAGAATCTCTTTTATCTGAGCCCTTATCCTAGGCTTGAAGAATCCCAGTCAGAGCACCAGGGTGAACCAGTATCTAAATTCTGGATGTGAGGGGCTGTGGTTAGCTGGCCCGTCCCTGCTCCCCAGCACCCCCCCTCCGAAACCCAGGAAACTGGCCTATCCCTGCTCCCCAGCACCCCCCACCTCAAAAACCAGGAAATCCTGAGTCAGGAGAGGTGGGGGAAGCTTCTTTGCTGATGCACCCCGGAAGCGGATTCTCTCCCAATCCATGTGTCTGTAGCACCTGGACTGTCTGTCCAGGAGGATCCAGGAATCAGGGCTGCTGTGTTTCTCCAGTAATGGGCTCTGCCTTTCCCACCCCCGCCTGCTGCTGCGTGGTTCCCCAGACCACAGGCCACATGGGGACCTGCCTTGTCTGCAGGGCCAGGGAGAAGGGAATGAGGGCATCCATGCTGCTGATCACTTTTTTATGCGCCCTGTTGAGGGTGAACCAAACAGGCTGTATCTCAGAGATCCGTCCTCCAGGATTGCCTGTAGCTTCATGGGGTGTTACAAGGGATGTTTGTGGCCAGTGGCAATAGAAAGTTGATTTTTCTTGCAAAATACTCCCTGCCCCACACTTTTTTCATTGCCAGGCTGTGGAGTAAAATGAGCTTTCTGGATGAGGTCTGTAAACCCCAGATGATATCTGGTACCAGTCTGGATAGACAGCATGAAAAGACAAAATGTTAAAATTGCATAAGTTTGGGCATCGGTGATCAGCATGCAGGTGCTGTCGAGCTTGGCCTGATTTGCAGGATACATTACACAGAGGTCAGAAAGTTGACAGATCCTTTTCCAGCAGAGTCTCCGGAACTCACGGACACATGTAAATGTCTCCCAGCTTGCTGATACCAGTAAGGCCACATAATTAGAAGAAAAGCTCCTAATTCGGAAGGGTTTAACACCTCCCAGCTACATAGATCCATTGTCCAAAATGCTCCCTAAAAATCAACACCCCTGAGGGTCAACTTATCTCGAAAATGCCTTTCGAGAATCAATTGTTTTAGAAGAAGCTTTTTTATTCTTAGCATTGTAGAGTGATGTCTGTCCTTAAAGCCCTCACCTTCTCTTTTACTTGAGTCCTCTGGTCACCTTTTCCCTTCAGCTCGGTGGGCTCAACCCAGTCAGAACCTTCCCTGTTCCCTCACCCGGTTCCCTGGGTCCAAGCTCTGTGCACTTCCAGTCTGAAATGAGGTTGATTTAAAGACGGCGGCATGACGCACGTAATGGTGTGGCAGGTGTCTTCATAGCCTGAGAGCCCCTCCTCCAGTCTGCTTACCTGTTTCTCCCATCATGCCGGAACAGCCTTCCCCAGACCCAGGTGTGGAGGGGGAGGCTCAGGGAAGAGAGGCCAAGAGCCGCTCCACAGCTGCTGGAGAAGGCGCTAGAGTCCTGGCCGTGTCCACAGGGCTCTGTGCGGAAGTGCCAAGGGGAGAGTGGTGTCCGCACGGTGACGTCCCTTCCGAGCCTCCTCTTGTCCTTTTCCATCCCATGTGCGTAAGAGAAGAACGATGGAAGGCAAAGTCTCTATTTCCTGGCTTTCTGCATTTTAGCCAAATGCATTTTTGTGGCGGGTGGATTGGAAAGAGTATCTTATTTACTTCACACAGTAATATGAGTGACTCTTAATATGTAATACGTGTCTGTTTATGGTTACATGGGTAATGCACCTTCATTGGAGACTGTACAGGAAAGTTCAAATACATAACGCAGATCCATCTGTCTTCTCCCTCCCCGAGCTCTGCCAGGGTCATCTTTCTGACCTGCTTCGTTCTGACCTGATACGTGGACGTCCTAAGTCATGTTGTTACCCAGACTGGGCATTTGCAGCTCCCACAGATACCAGGAGCTGTTTTCTGTGCCATGAAAAATTTATCAGAAGCACTCTTTTGGTGGGATAATAAGGTTATTTTTTTAAAGATTTTATTTATTTATTTGACAGAGAGAGACACAGCGAGAGAGGGAACACAAGCAGGGGGAGTGGGAGAGGGGAAGCAGGCTTCCCGCTGAGCAGGGAGCTCGATGCGGGGCTCGATTCCAGGACTCCGGGATCATGGCCTGAGCCGAAAGCAGACACTTAACAACTGAGCCACCCAGGCGCCCCAGGATAGTAAGTTTTTATTTAAATGTTTGATTGGCAGTACATTATTTCAAAGCTCCAACGATGTAAAGGAGTGCCTAATAAAAAGCCTCCTTTCTAGTCTGTGCACCAGCTGTGCAGGCCCCCACTCCCACCTCCTGGTGCCCACAGGGTGCCCCTTTTCTAGGTGTCTTCAAGTTCACTGCTGATGCTTCTTGATGCTAAACCAAATACAACTTGATAGTCTTAACTCTCCACTTTTGCTCCCCAGGTGCACCCTGCTTCGGTTCTTACTTGATCTGTCCTGGAGATCTTTTCATTACAGCACATGGAAAGCTATTTTGTTCTTCAAAAGCACATTTAAAATATTTTTCTAAAGCAATTGATTCAAAAGATATATTTTTTTAATCTTAATGGAAATACAGCAAATGAAAATTCAGCCTCTTTTTCCCCATTCCCACTCCTACTGCATTATCAGTGATAGCCACTGTTAGTTTTCCTATATATTTCTCCAGAATTATTACTATGCTTGTACTCTCATGAGTGTGCATGTGTAACTGCTTTTTAAAAAAAGAAATCAGGTCATCTCATACAATTTCCCAAATCATTTCTGTATAGTTGGACCTTAAATTGTTTGAAAAATTTTTTTTCAACTCATCTAAGCAATGGAAAGAGGAATGATCTTTGATGTAAATTCTGGCCCATGTCTTTGATTATTTCATGTAGATAAATCCTGGGAGTGAGCTCTCTGGGTCAGAGGATGTGACGTTTGTAGGGGCTGTGGGACACAGCCTCATGGCTTCCCTAGTAGATTATACTGCCTCTCTTCCCAGCCATCCATAGGAAAATGATGCTCACCCTCACAGCAGGGCCACACTCAGACCCAGCCCAGGGAGTGCCTGGTTTTTTGAAACCAAGGTTTTCTCAGGTTGGCGGTAGACGGGTTTCTCCCTATTGGGTTTGAAGGAATCTCTCAATAGCAACTTCCTAGCAAAAGCTGCTGTGGAGCCCATTGTAACTGCTTAGCTCCACACTCCTGTCAAGGGCTCAGGTGGGGTGGTTCTCCGGTTCTCCCTCCGGGCTGCCATGTGTGGGGTGAGAGATAGCCCTTGGGCTGGTGGGACAGATTCTGTGTTGGTGTCAAGGATAGCAGAACACCCTGCTTCTCTCAATAATTGCCACATTATTCGTACAGTGCACAGTTCCTGGGAACTTCCCACCTGCCAAGCACTCTTGTGCATACCCTGCAGGCAGCAGGTTTTGTGTTCGGGACGACCCTCTGAGGTGTGGGACTATCCTACCTGTTCTACACGTGAGGACAGTGTGGCACAGAGCAGCCCAGTGATTGGCTCATGGCCACAGGGCCGGGAACCCGTGGAGCGGGGGTTTATCCTGACCGGTGTGCCCCCAGAGCCGAGCCTCCAGAACCATGGCCTTCTCCTGCCGCAGAAGGAGTTACCTTCTGTGTCTCCAGCCCCCTGGAAAGGGTTCAAGTTGTAGCTTCTTCCACCTTGTAGCTGGTTTTCCTTGTGTTTGCTGCAGGTTTATAGCAGCAGAAGTTGCTTTGAAGTTGGACAGACCTGAATTCAGATCCAGTTCCTGCATGTGTGGCCTTGGGCAAGGTCTCAGCCTCCCTGAACCTGTTTCCTCATCTGTGAAGTGTGTGTGTGTGTGTGTGTGTGTGTGTGTGTTGGGGGGGCTTGTTAGGGAAATTGATGAACATGATAAATGCTCTTGCCCTCACGAGCCCACACCCTCCCCTGTTGCCCTTGGTCTTCCCTGTTTCCGTTGGCATCCTTCCATTCGATCAGAAGCTCCTTCCCTGGACGTAACGTCACTGTTCCTGGGGCAGCTGCTAGTGCTGACCATTTTGCGAGCTTGCTTTACGTAGAACCTGCCATCCTGCGGGGCATGCAGTTTCTGTTACCCAATCACGTTCTCGCGGGGCACTTCTGAGTCAGCGCCAGCAGCTGTGTTCTGCCTTAAATTGCTCATGCATCACGAGGCGGGAAGGATAGAGCCATGTGGGGGCAGACGTTGGCCTTTTGTGTTTACGTACTAGGTGTGTCTGTGTGTGTGATGTTCATCGTGGTGACAGTGGATATTTTTTCCACTGCTCATTTGATATCTTGCATCTCACATCCTAATTAGGCCTTTATAGCTCCAAAATTACATGATTTTACAGGCCTGCTATTATCTCAATAGGATTAACAGTCCGTTCTCCGTGAAGATAATTGAGATCCCTCATGGTGGCATATTTTTATTACCATAACACCGTCTCTAACCCATCCTTCCACAAAATCTCTTACTGTTTCCCAGTAACTGCTTTTTCACCTCATTCTGAACAGGAAATGTTCAGGGATCTTTGAGAGGCAGAATTCTTAGGTGATTATGCAAACCATGGTAACCAAGATGCGCTTTTCTCTCTCCCTTCCCCCTCTCCCGATGGCAGGTGCCTGGAGATTTGAGTCAAACATCCGAAGACCAGAGTTTGTCGGATTTTGAAATGTAAGTCCACGGCATCTGCTCACGAGGGGCCCTTTAGAAATAGGACTCTGTTGTTGGGCTTGTGTCCCCAGAAGACTACAGGGGGAAACTAAAATCACTGTTGAAATCTGCATGGGCCAATTTGGTTATCTTGGCCGTGAGAAGTTGTTCGCCTGCAGCCAGAGCCTGCCCTTCAAATGTGTTTAATTTCTGTTCCTGGGTATTGGAAAACAATTAATTTTTTTTGGCCGACATTTAGGATTTGGAAGCTATCACGTAAGAATGTAAATTTCATTTTAAAAATTTAAAAAAAAAAGGCTCCAATCCCTACCAGGCCACAGTGGGAGCTGAGTCGTGGCTGCGTCCCTCACACAGGGCCTGTGCTCTTCTGCTGATCACAGTCGTCTGTCTGTCCCTGTGTCCCCCCCACCCCCACCCCTGGTGCCTGACTCTGGCCTGCTGCTCTCATTTCATTAGCTGAGTGTCTCCTGGAGGAATATGAGTTTATAAACCCTGAAGTTACCGGAAACCATAGTGGTTCAGGGCATGGGTCTGATTGGTTACTGGATGTGATTCTGTCTGGTGCCTCTGACAGTAAACTCCTGAAGCACTTAGTTGGTCTTCAGACTATTTCAGATCAGGTTGCCTTGGGGTTTGGACAGGTAAATCCCCTTGGGTTGGTAAAGACAGTGGAGCAGGTCCCAGCTTAGGGCCCCGCAGAGCCTCCCTCTGCTCTCATTCAGTTGTCCGGAGCAGAAGGTGGCCCAGCCTCCCTGAGAGCAAGTGTCATCTGGGCAAAGCCCGCCTCTGGAGGGCTAGGGTGGGGCATCAGAAAGAGCATTTATCAGCCAGGCTGACCCTCCCTGCCATCCCAGCTACAGGATTCACACTGCTATGACCTTGAGCAAGCCTCTAGACCTTGCTGGGCCTGAGTTCCTCATTCATACGGTGAAGGTCACGCTGCCAACCTCACAGGGCAGTGGTGGCAATGACAGGGAGGTGATGAAAAATGCAGAGGGTTCAGGAGGCCGCTCGGTGCTTGGGTGGCTGTCAGGCTAGTGTAGGGGGAGGGGTCAACGTGAGGCGAAGCCATGAGGGATGGATATTGGAGGTGAGCTTGCCCCCTGTGGGCCTGTGGGGGGAGCAGGGGTACAGTGTGAAGAGGGTTATGGGGTGGCGGCCTGTGGGGGGAGCTGGGCAGAGAGGTGAGAGCTGTAGAGGGGGGGTTTCAGAGGCCGTCGTGAGGCAAAAGGCTCACCATTATAGCAGAAAGCAGTCAGGCACTTCCTGGGGTGGGGGTGGTCATGCCAGGTCCTTGATGGAGGGCATGAATAAGACTTAGTCCCTGCCCTCAAGCAGCCACTGCCTGGTCCGGCTCCATCATCTCTGTCCCAGAGGTTTGCAGCCCCCTCCCTTGGGTTTGTGCATCTCCACTAAAGCCGGAGGGAAGTGCCATTTTCCTCTCTCAAAATGGAGAGAGGAACTACATCCCTCATGGAGAGAGGAACTACATCCCTCATGTAGTTTGCACAGAAGGCCCTTCCTTGCTGACCTCTGGTTTCATCCTCAGCCGTCCCCTGTCTTCTCCCTGCACACAGCCCCCGTGGCCACCGTGACTCCTCTAACTCACCTGGTCTTCCCTCCTCGGGATCATTACTTCCAGACTGTTTCCTCTGTGCCAGGCATTGTTCTCACCCACTGAGTCCCTTTGACAACCCTGTGACGTGGGTATCGTCCTCCAGAGAACACACTGAAGGCAGGATTCAAACCTAGGAAGTCTTCATCTGGGCTGTGCCCTTCACAGATGTTAATCTCCCTGCCTGAAGCACCTTTCCAGCCTCAGCCTACCCTCCCCAACTTGGCTCACTCCTAGTACTCCCCAAAGCCCCTCCCAAAGACCGTTTCCCTAGCCTCTGTGATGCCTCAGCCCCCCACCCTGCCCCCACCCTCACCAGCGCCTTTCACTGTCCTGAGATCCAATATTCCTTGGTGGCACTAACAACAGTGATAACTAAATAATGTCTTTTAACAACTGGAAATATCTATGTACCTACCAACCGAGCCCCAAAACTTAGCATGTGAAAATTGCAGAAATGAAGGAAGAAATAGGTAGTTCTGCAGTAATAGTTGGAAATTTCAATACCCCACTTGCCATGTTGGGTAGAACACTAGAGAGAAGACCAGCGAGGAAACAGAGGACTCGAACAATCTGTAAACCAGTTAGATCCGATAGGCATCCGTAGATCCCTGAGCAGAGTATACTTTCTTCTTCTTCTTTTTTTTTTTTTTTTTAAAGATTTTATTTATTTATTTGAGAGAGAGAATGAGATAGCATGAGAGGGGGGAGGGTCAGAGAGAGAGGCAGACTCCCTGCTGAGCAGGGACCCCGACGTGGGACTTGATCCCGGGACTCCAGGATCATGACCTGAGCCGAAGGCAGTCACTTAACCAACTGAGCCACCCAGGCGCCCGAGTATACTTTCTTCTTAAGTGTACTGGAACATTCTCTAGGCTAGACCATACATTAGGCCACAATACAAATCTCTGTAAACCTAAAAACATGGAAATTACACAAAACATCTTCTTGGGCCTTAGTGGAATAATCGTTAAGGGAGTTGTCTCTCTCACTCCCTGAGGGCGGAGACTGTGTCGACTTGCTTCCTTGCTCTGTTTCCAGGATCTAGAGTAGTGACTGCCATGTAGTAGGCTCTCAGTAAGTGCTTGCTTTGTGTACGAAGAAACAGAAGAGTGAGCAAATGAATTAATACCTAGGAGAGAGATGGTCATGTAAATAATTCTTTTAAGATTTTATTTGAGAGCGAGAGAGAGAGAGCACGCGAGCAGGGGCAGAGGGAGAAGCAGACTCCCCGCTGATTAGGGAGCCGGATGCGGGACTCGATCCCAGGACCCTGAGATGACGTGAGCTGAAGGCAGATGCTTAACCGACTGAGCCACCCAGGCACTCCAGCAATTCTTTTTTTTTTTTTTTTTTAAGATTTTTAAAATATATATATATTTTTGTTTTTTAATTAATTAATTAATTTTTTTATTCTTATGTTAATCCCCATACATTACATCATTAGTTTTAGATGAAGTGTTCCATGATTCATTGTTTGTGCATAACACCCAGTGCTCCATGCAGAATGTGCCCTCCTCAATACCCACCACCAGGCTAACCCATTAAAATATATTGTTTTGAGAGAGGGAAAGAGAGTGCAAGAGCAGGAGCAGAGGGGAGGGTCAGAGGGAGAGGGAGAAGCTGATTCCTTGCTGAGCAGGGAGCCCACGCAGAGCTTGATCCCAGGACTCTGGGATCATGACCTGAGCCGAAGGTAGACGCTTAACCACCTGAGCCATCCAAGTGCCCCTCATTTTTTTTTTTTTTTAAGATTATTTATTTTAGAGAGAGAACAGAAATAGGTGAGGCAGACGGAGAGGGAGAGAATCTCAAGCGGACTGCACTGAGTCTGGGGCCTGATGCAGGGCTTGATCCCACAACCCTGAGATCATGACCTGAGCTGAAACCAAGAGTCGGACACTTAACCAGCTGTGCCACCCAGGAGCCCCAGTCATGTAAACAATTCTAACACTGTATGGGAAATGCTCTGAAAGGGAGAAATGCCTAAGCCAGCCAGGGGTGTCTGGCCCTTACCAATCAGGAAGGTTAATGAAAAGCAGATTGTTCGGTACATTTCTGCACTGCACCCACCCCCTTGACAGAAATGAAAGGGGAGCACTTAGGCCCTAGTACAATGGGAGACCTTTACAGGAGGAATGCCATTAGATGTACAAACCAACTTGATGGCTCAGAATTGCAGTTTTTACTTGGAGCTCTGAGGAAGTGATGAATTATTTTGCCCCATGAAGGAGGTCAGCGCCTCATCTCAGAGCTTAGAAGAAATGCTTCAGGAGAGAACCATTTTTTTGTGAAACGAAACTGCTCTCCACTATAGATTGGGAGGCCACTGAGTCATGGGATCTTCCACCATTGTCTCCAATTGTGTTCTAAGCACAGGAGGCTGGCGCATGGCTATGAGCTGCTCTTGAGAGAGGAGGAAAGTTCAGGAGAAAGCATTTAGCCCTGGGACGACTAAGTAGAGGCCGGGACTGGAACCTCCCAGCCCTTCCAGAACTGTGCAGTACCGTTTTGGTAACCATCAGGATTGATCTTCAAGCATTAGCGACAGTCAGCCTGTCTGTCCGCATGCCTTGGATTCAGCTGGGTGGAAGATTGGTGGTGGCGGGTATGTGGACCCAGAGATTCACAGTTAGGTGAAAGTCATCACATAAGACAAAACTCACAGAACTCAGAGAACCGAAGGGACCCTTGAAGACCCCTTAAATATCCTGTGAGCATTAACTGCAGTACTATAGATGAAAGCACGGAGTCCTATGTTATAGGTACTCAGTAAATGATTTGCACTTGAATTTAAATCTTGGTTTATTGGAGCCAAACACAGTGTTTCGAAAGTTGCAAGAGGGGTGTTTGTGCCTGCCTTCCTGGTTTCCCCTTTCCCGCCCCAAATAGCTGTTGCTTGCCTAGCCATGGACGTCGGCCTCCTGAGCCTTTTTGTGGAATCTGATCTTAAAATGGGTGCCAGGGTCTAGAGCGAGCACAGCAAGGAGGTGGCGTGACTCCTCCAGGTGCTCCAGGTACCCTGTGGTCATCAGTGCACGTGACCCTCCGTAGCTGCCTGGGGGCTTCCAATTATCAACCCCTTTTTCAGATGAGGAAACAGGTTTAGATAAATTCTGAGTCACGGTGACTCAGTTGTAAGAATGGAAGGGCAGCCCTTTCTCATTCCAAAGTACAAACTGTGTATCTAAAGAACAAACACACATGGATTAAGTCCCTTCAGAATAATGCTGGGGGCTAGGTGAGCAGGCTCACACTGGCCCTGGGGCTTACTCCTGTGCGCGACAGATGTTGTCACCAATTGCTTGTGTGTAATGCCTCTTAGAGAAGATGATTTCCTCTCTCTTTCTTGGTAAATCAAAATGACTAATTTTGATCTTTCTTTTTGGTCAGATCAAACCGGGCACTGATCAACGTCTGGATCCCGTCGGTGTTTCTCCGGGGCAAAGCGGCCAACGCCTTCCATGTGTATCAGGTGAGCCCCTGGTTTTCAGTTGGATGTCCCCGCTCAGGTGGAGCGGACGGCTGTTCGTGGCGCTGTGGTCTGTCTGGCTCTTGGTGATGGAGCGCTGTACTTAGGAGGCCACGGCCTTCCGGCTGCCCCGCCTCCCTGAGGAAGGAGTCCTTCCATCATTCACACAGGAGGGACTGGGGTGGAGCCTCTTCGTGCCGGTCAGGCCTCATGGTGTGGCCACTGCAGATCTCAGCGCGGACTGCTGGAGCCGAGATGGAGTCTATCGGCTTGTGTTGCAGCCATGAGGTCCAGGTGTCGGTGCGGCCTCAGGCGTGGTTGAAGCTGTGGCCACAGATCTGCTGCCTGGATCCCCTGCTCAGGTGTCTTCTTCAGGCTGGCACTCTCTGCAGCTTGATGGATGGCACTCCGCCTGTCTGGGAGATTTCAGCGTTTCTACCAGACCTGTCTTGGATCAGGAACCCATTTCTGACCCTCCAGGCTGGGTGATGCACTTCTGTGATTGGCCAGGCTCGGACGTGACCACTGCTGGCCCTGGGGTGTGCCGGAGAGAGGGGAGAGCAGTTCTCCAAATGAAAACCAGACTCCTCTCCTCAAAAGAAGGGGCAGCAGTTACTTGACAAAGTCAGCACTGCGTGTGTCAGGGTCACTCCCTGGCTGGGGTTTGAGTGTTAAGGACTGTGGGGCCTTTGTCTGCTTTGGGGACCCGGGACCCCAGTTTTCCATCTTTTCTCTGATTTTCCGATGCCTCTTTCAGCCTTGCCTTCTTACCATCTTTTTTGTCGTCATTTTTCTTTGTTTTGTTTATCTTGGATCCTGATCTCCAGCTGTTGATGTTCACCTGTCCTGGACTGCTTTGTTTTCAAGTCTGACTCTTAGCTGTCTCCTGGGTCTGTCATCTTGTATCACAACAACTTTCATTAGGCTTTGTTCTTACTCCCTGTCAGCTCTGTGAAAAGCCTTGAGTTTTGCTGCCCCGCACCCACTTTTTTTTTTTTTTTTTCAGTAGGGAATTGACCATTGAAGACGTCTTCTCAGCTATTAAGATGTTTTCCCAGAGCCTGGGGTGGTGAAAAAAGGACAGTGAACTTGAAAATAGGAGCCCTGGTTTCAATTTCGTAACCTTAAGTGAATCTGTTTCCTCATCTGTAATACGGAAACAATCCTACCACTTACCTTGCAAAGCTCTTGTCAGCTCGAGGAGCGGCCGGTACCACATGCACACTCTGTATTCTCGTCTTCGTACTTCTCATCTTCCCAAATGCCCGCCCTCTGTGGTCTTCGGTGGCAGGCCTGGTGGCAGGTGTGTGTTTTATAGGAACGGGTATCAGCATCTTAATATCTCACAGACAGATGAGCTAGGGCTTGGCACGGCAGCTTGCACCAGAGAGTGACTTTAGTTTACTTGTTCATCTGGGCAACGGCAGTTAGTAGCAGGTTCTTAAGTGTTGGAGAATCTGAGTGTTCATGATGCTCTCGGCTTGGGCTTGAGAAGAATCAGGACAGATTTCTGCATGTCCCCTTCGTTTTCCTTCTCTTCTTAAGCCAAACAAACCAGAATCCCTCTTACTTGAGTGTCCTTTGAGTTCTGCTTTGTGGTCATCGCAAAGCTGGGAGGTGTTGCCTGGAGGATGGAAAAAGTGAAGCCGACAGCTTTATTTTAGAGCGAAATTAAAATGTGATCTCACTCGAGAGGTTTCCTTGACCTTTCATTTCTGAACCCCCCCAGCGCCGGCCCAGGATGCGATCTGGCAGGTTGTAACGTCTAGAAGTCAGTTACAAAATGAGACGGACACAGCCCATGTGCTGTTGCCTGGGAGATGGTTGGCATGGTGATCACAGTGGCATCTGTGCCCCTCTGTCCCTGTCCTTCATGGCTTCAGAGCCTTCCTGGGTGTGGTCCAGTAGGTGCCTAGAGGACGTGGCCCGGAGTCACCCGCATCAGCCAGAGCAGCTTCGTCTCACACTGTGGGTGCTCCAACATCTTTGCTGATGTTGCACCTCTGGAAGGCAGCTCTCTCCTTTTCGCTAACCATGCTTCTGGTCAGTCCCTCGAGAGCAAAATCCGAGCATGTGTTTGGAAACGTTGGAGAAAGCTTTTGTTTTACAGTGTTTTTATCATAAACGATATCAGATAGAAGGTGACTCACTTAAAATGCTGGTACCATTGGACGTTATTTTTCTTTGTTTAAACAAATGCATTCTGTGTATTTCCCCAAAAGATTTGAGATAATTTCTAGAGAAACTCCTGTAAAAGAATGATAAAATAGAAGTAAAAAGTCAAATAACAGGGTCTGGGAAAATGTAAACTAGGAGAACTTGAATTAAGGAAACTGTGAAAATCACATGTATCTGTCATGAGCTCCTGTATGACCGTTCTCATTGGTTTGTGAATTTCCTATGGGCTTCCTGGCAGCCAGGATGAAAATGGAAATGTGGCTCTTTTGGATAAATACCATGGCTAATGAGAAGAAAATACATTAGCTCCTCAAAGAGCACTCCAAGAGAAATTTCCACACAGGGCTTTAGATTAGATTAGATTCCACACAGATTGCCTTAGATTAGGCAATATTGAGGGATGCAGGAGGCAATCCCCCATTACATCTCTGTGACACATTGCTGTCACGCTTCATCAGATGGCCCTCAAAGGAAGCCAAGGGCCTAACCTCCAAATGGAAAGAGTTCATTGGAAGAGCCAAGAGGAAAGGCTCCGCACATGTAGTTGCCTCAGTAGATCTGGGCTTCCCAGTACAACAGCCACTAGCTACGTGTAGCCATTTAAACTTACACGAACTAAAATATAGTGAAATTAAAAAGGCAGTTCCTCAAGCCCACTGGCCACATTTTGTGTCTTTAACAGCCACAGGCAGCTAGAGGCCACCGTGCAGGGCAGCACGGATGCAGCACATTTCCGTCGCTGCAGAAAGTGCTCTGGGCCGGTGGGCAGTTAGAACGGTGTCTCCAGGAGTGTGGGACAGCAGGCCACTGTGTGTGTCAGGTCAGGTTTTAGAAAGACAGAGGCTGGACATGGCTACCAAATCCTGCAGGGAGGAAGCCACTCACTTTTCAGCTCTTCCCTGGCTTGGGGTTACCGGGCAAGGGGCGCAGGGACACCCCGAGTGTGGCCCCTGTGTGCCCGTGCCCTCAAATCTTGCTGTTCAGCAGAGACAGGGAGGCTCCGAAGGAGTGCCTTGGCGGGAGCGGACTTGAGCTTGATCATGCACGTTGTTTTGTTTTCATTGTGGGTTTTTTTTTTTTTTTTTTTTTTTAAGATTTTATTTATTTATTTGACAGAGAGAGACACAGCGAGAGGGGGAACACAAGCAGGGGGAGTGGGAGAGGGAGAAGCAGGCTCCCCGCAGAGCAGGGAGCCCGATGTGGGACTCGATCCCAGGATCCTGGGATCATGACCTGAGCCGAAGGCAGTCGCTCAACCGACTGAGCCACCCAGGCGCCCTCATTGTGTTTATTTATACATTTGCCTTCTAGTTATGGCACAGAATCCTGTTTTCCACCAACCATGGTGATGCACGTTCCTTTTAAAATAAAGTTAGGAAGAAAGAAAGAGAGTCCTGTTAAAACAACACCACCACCACCACCACTAAGTAAATGATCATGCAAACAGCAAGAGTTTGGGACAGTGTAACGTGACCAGTAACATTCAGGAAATTTCGCTGGGCGGAGGGAACAGACGGCGAACGGTAGCTCAGTAACCGTGATAGTCCCACCGGGAAGCCACAGCGGCCGCTGCCTCTGTCTGGTCTGTGTGCATTCTGTCCAGTAGCTCACTCAGCCTTCACAACCGCCCTGTGAACAAACTCTTCTTATCCCCATCTTATTGATGAGACAACAGAGGCACTGAGAAGCCTCTCATTCAGTAACACGTTTTTAGCCCAAGTAGTATTTTCTCCCAAGGTACCAGTTGGCAGAGGTTCTGAGAAGGAGGGTGGAGCTTGTCACATGTCTAAGAGGCGAGTGGGGCAGGTGGCTTCATTCTGAAGGGAGGGGCCCGGCCTGCACCCCGGAGTTGATGGGCCGAGGGCATGCCTGCAGCCCAGCTGGCTGGTTCTTGTCGAACTCCTCGGGGCCCACCGCAGGGCACAGTCTTGTGACCCACCAAGGCTTCCAGACCCCCAAGCCAGGCTGAGATGCTCTTGCTCTGGATAATTATCAGAGCAGGTGCTGGTTCGTGGTGTCTGCTCGGGCCGTAGATGGGTTTCAGGGGTATTCCTTCAGAACTGCTCCCTTGAGCAATGTCAGGGTCTGGAGAGCCTGCCCGGAGATTTGGAGAAGGTGCTTCTGGATGCCAAGAGGAACTAAGCTAGCTCACCCGCTGCAGGCAGAGCTTGGGCTTTCATTCTTCATATTGTGGGAAGGGGCCTGGAGTTGTATTTTGCGCAAGGGATTCTGGCAAGAGGTGCCGTCCCTGGAAAGGGTTGAATGCAAGGTCTTAAAAAATGGTTTATGCCTTTGAGTGCTGTGGTTTCTACACTCGGCCCCCACGTCTGAGATGGGGGCCAGGCGTGCTCTGGCACTTGGAGGAAATGGCAGCATTTGAACAATTCTCAAAATACCAGTAAAATCAATGTCCAGAACTTTCCCGATTTAAGGTTTTCATCTATGAATATTTCTGATGCTTCTGGCTCCTGCTAACGCTTGGCTGCCCCCAGACACTAGCCAGGGACAAAATGATTGAACAGCAACAAATATAATAAAATGGGAAAAACTATTTACTAACTAGTCTTGCTGGGTTTTTGTCTCTTTCTCTCTGTGTTAACACACCGTTGAGCTTGTGAGCGCGATTTTCTGTCACTTCTGTGTGATAGAGTTACATTTGTTGTTAATCAATTAGTTCCTGGTTTATACCTTTGTGATTGTTTGATCTTATTTCCCAAATACTCCCACTTCCAAATAAGATTGAGGTCCACCGTCTTTAATATCCTGCTGTAGTGTGTGGGTAAAGGGATGTTAGATCCCCCCAAAACAAAAACAAAACTGCCTTT